GCCCACCCCTGGTGCCCGCCAGGCCGTACCCTGGAGCTGGACGGCGTCCTGGGGGCTGCTCTCGAGCTGCAGCTCGTCGTCGTCCAGCGAGGACCAGGCGCTCAGCGTGGCCTCTGTGATGGCAAACTGCTCAGCAACCCCTGCGGGGACAGCAGGACCCGGCACCGTGGGGGCACGGGCTGGCACCGGGACAGGCTAGACGGAGGCCCCCGTTCTGGGCTGCCCATCCATGCCCGGTGACCAAGAGTGCCCGCTAAATGCCCCGTCCACAGATGCCATTATTTCCCTGCCCAGACAATGCCCACACGGTGACCCAGGTCCTCTGAGGACCCAGCTTCGCCCCTGCAGGGCCCCGGCCAGGGTCCCCGACCCCACACTGACCTGCAGCAAAACGCGCCTCGCGCAGCTCGTCCGGGAGGCAGCAGTAACGCTCGTCCTCGGCCGGAGATAGCTCCCAGCCCGACCGCTGGGCACTCCAGCCCTTCCACTCGATGAGGTGGGCCACGCGGCCTCGTGCCATGGCTGTGGGCTTTGTGATGTGGTCCTTGATGCTCTGCACCACCCCTGGGGGTGCGGAGGGCAGTGGGCGACCGCCCTGACACAGGCCTGGCACCACCAATGCCTGCACCCCCCAACGGCCTGTGCCTACCCAGTGCCCCACGTGCAGCCAGCACCTCGTGCCCACCCCCTGCCCCGTCCCCCCAAGCTCTACGGCCCCCTCCCACTGGCAGGCCCGCTCCTTCCCTCCCAGTGTCCCTCTCCCGGTCAATGTTCCCGCCCACTGGGTGCTTCTCCCCAGACCGGCCACACCCCTCACTCCCTTTCTGACCAAGTTCAGACCCTTCTGCCCCCAGAGATCCACTCAAGGACCACCATGATCCCCCAGCCCTCCCTGTTATCCATTAATTAACACTCCATTAATTAGCATCTCCGGGCTGAGGGTGAGGCCTGGGTGAGTGCAGCAGGCAGGAAAGGCTTCCTGGGGGAGGGGGCCTGGCATTGGGCTTGGAAGGTGGGTTGGGTTTGGACAGACGGAGGCGAGACTGGGCTGTTTCAGGGATGAGAAGAGGATGAGGCAGGAAGAGCCTGGTGTGAGTCTAGGACCACCCGGGGGACCTGGGGCAGTGTTAGGACTGGGCCGAGAGAGCCAGGCTGAGGGCGCACGTGCTCTTACAGTGGGGGCCACTGCGGGGAAGCGAGCAGGAGGTGACGGGGAGAGCCGCGTTTAGGAAGAGCATCCTAATTAGAGGGCAGGGGCCACTGCAGGAGTGGACCTGCTGGGTGTGGACGGTGATGGAGAGGGGTTGTCAGGAACGATACAGCATCTCCATCAGCCAAGGCTGAGGACACAGAGCTGGGCGTCACCAGGGTCCCTGAAGCAGTCATGTGACGAATGACAAGATTTAAGAAAGTTGGGTCTGAACAAGGGAAACGAGAGCTCTGAGAAAATGGGAAAGATGGCAGCGAGGAAGAAGGGGAAGACCCCCCAGTGGGGGAGTGTTGGCACCAGAGACGGTGTGTGGAGGACGTGGTGGTGTGTCACCGCAGGTGAGGGGAGAGGAGGTGTTTCAAGGGCAGGAAACGGCACAGGCCCACGTGGGCAGGCAGGGCACAGGGGGCTCTCCGCGGGGTGTTGGGGGCAGCCGGAGGGGCAGAGAGGCCAGCAGTGTGCGAACGCCGGCCCGGAAGGCCATGTTGGGGCCACCGGGGGCAGACGCCGTGGTAGCCACCGAGACCCCCTCTCCATGCTGGTGTGCCCATGCCCGGCTGCTCAGGTGTTGCTGCTGTGGGCTCACACCTGCACCCTTCTCCAGAGCCCCGCCCTGAGCTAACGGGGGCTGCAGAGTCCACCCCCAAGGGTGGCCAGTAACTGACCAGTGGGGGACAGGAGTCCAGCCATGTTGCCTTCAAGTGCCATCGGTTCTGTGGTGCTGGTCACACTCCTGAGCTCTTGAGGGATCAGGCTGGGAAAGGCTAGATTCCTGCAGCCGCGTCTTTGTGGGTGCCCTGCCCGGCCCCCTGCTTCCCTCACTCCCTGCGGGTTTCTCCTGAGAATCCCCCTCCCCGAATCACTCGCATGATTCTCGTTGCAGCCTCTTTGTCCAGGGAACCCCACTTAAGGTGACGTGGCTGGCAGAGAGGCAGGGAGACCGCGCCAGACAGACATCTGAATACTCTGGCCCACCCCCTCAGAGTTGCTCGAGAACCCAGCAATGTAACCCATGGAGCAGGGACCCTAAGTCACTGGTCCCCGCAGTGACCCACGGAGCCCAGCTTGGAGCCTGGCATTTAGGAACAGGCTGCAACCCTCCCAGCTGCAACTCAGCCTTGCTCTCTCCACGGCTAGTGTGTGCGTGTGGGGGGGATAGGGGGATGCAGGGCGGCCCCAAACTCCAAGGGCACGAGAGGGGCAGCTGGAACCTACCCACAAGGGACGAGGTGGCCAGGGCTGCCACGTTGTAGTTGCCAGAGCAGGATCTGGAGTTGGACAGGTAGCCATTGGTGGTCTGGAAGCACCTCTAGAGGAACGGGGAGGGGAGAGCAGGGTGGGGCAGACCGCCAGACGCCATCTCCCAGCACGACCATTCCCTCTCTGGGCAGGGACAGGGCAGGTAAAGCCAGGCAGATGCCACCAACTCCCACAGCGCCCCCTCCCCCAGAGCTGGCAGGACAGGGTGCCTGGGCTGGTGTCAGCTGGGGCCAGCCAGACTGGGGGACAGGCAAACGCACTGACCTGCCAAGGATCCCAACAGAAATCCATCTGTTTGTCCTGAAACGAGAGGGGAAGAGGCTCAGGCAGGGCCCTACTGTGCCCGCAGATGGCACGCGTCCTGGAGCCTGGCGGGGTGGGAGCAGTCTCCTGGTGCTCCATGAGGTCGGGGTCTGCCCACTTAGGGTCATGTGCTGGCGTCCCTGGCATGCAGAGACGGGAGGGGCAGTGGCACTGCGAGGAGGGGCAGCAGGTGCAGCTTTTGGAGCAGACTTGCGTTTGGGTTTTCACTTTGCTATTTCCTAGCTGGGTCTCCTTAGACTGTCCTCAACAGCTCAGGACACCAGTGTCTTCCTCTGTAGAATGGTGACAATGCCATTTACCTCACGGGCTGTGGCGAAGCTATAAAAGACTTAAAGGAGGCAAAGTGCTTAGCAGGTGGTATGTGCTGGGCGGGGAGGTAATTATATCAACCACTAGGTTCACACCACGGCCCCTGGGGCAAGGGTAGAAATTATGCACCAGGATTTGGGGCCCCTGGCAACATCTTCCTAACCTATCTGGACTGAGAATTCCATTCCTTTTATTCTTGAGGCTGCTAAGGAGTCTGGGCTGGTAGCAGAATGTGTCGCCTGCTAGGCTGAGCTGATGTGGACAGGACCTTCGGGGCAGACAGTCTTTTCTAAGCAAGCCCGGTCCGATCCCTGGATGCTCTGTCCTATCCGGACCCTCATCCTGCCCAACGCAAACCTTAGTGGCCCTGATCCCACGGGGAGAAGCCGGGTTTGGCAGGGAAGGAGGAGCTTAGAATGGTGTCTGTTCCCTGTGAAGAGCTGAAGGGGACAGGCGGGCACCGGGGCACAGGCAGGAGCAGGGATGAGGAGCGACCTGTTACCTTGCCAGTGACATGGTCTGGAGCAATGGACGGTGGGTGGCCGGAGGGCAGGTCTGGGTTCAGGGGGTCCGTGCCCTGGGGCATGGGGACGTCCTTGTGGGCACTTGTGATCAGATCTGGAAACAGGATGACAGGAGGAACTTAGAAGAGCCGGCCCTCTCCTGCTTACAAAGCGCAGTGAAGCCAGCCCTGCGAGACAGGCATTGCCTTACCATCCATCACCATTTTACGGCAGGGGAGGGGCCCGGCCAGATCTCCTCCTGCTCCCCTTGGTGGCAGGAATTAGTGATCGGCCCCATCTTCTCTGTACCCCATTCCCACTAATTGTAGCGCCCCCACTCCAGCAGTTCTCGACCTCACGGAGACCTCAATCCACTTCTCCTCTGACTCTCCCACTAGCTTCTCACGTCCTGGCTTCCCTTCTAGCCCAGCTGTCCCCGCCTGTCCTCTGCGCTCTGCTGGCAGACGCCCTTGCCTCTAACCCTCCTGCTCTGCGCCCGGACCGAGGAGCTGAATGTTACCGGAGAAAGTCACTGGCCTCCTGCTGAACTGGTGATCACCGGTCGTGGTCGCGCAGGACACTGCCCCGAATCCCGTTTCTCCATTTCCTGCGGAGTTTGCTTCCTACACTTGTTCTCTCGCAGACCTCAACGCTGCCCCACTGGCCCTGCTGCTGGCCTCTCCCCATCCCTCTGGGCCCAGAAGCCTTGGGAAGGCGTCACCTGGATCTTTCCACCCCAAATCGCCACCCTGCTTGACTTTTGCCCACGTCCTCTCCTTTCCCTCCTGTAACAAAGGAAGAGCTGTCCCTGCTCCATCCAAGATCATCCAGTGGCTGGACCCGCCCTGCCCTCCACCCGGGACTCTGCTCTCTCCCGAGTCCCCTGGGTTCCCTCTCAACTCCGTCAGCCTGGAGTCCGTCTGTCAGGATCGCGCACACCGCGAGGCCTCTTCTGCTCAAGGGCCTTCTCCTGCATCCTCTCTCCCTGTCCTCAGCAAGTCCCCAAACCACAGGGTCACCACCAGCAGCCACGCAGCCCAAGCATCTCCTGACTTTTAAAAACTTTCTGGGCCGGGCGCGGTGGCTCACGCCTGTAGTCCTAGCACTCTGGGAGGCCGAGGTGGGTGGATTGCTCAAGGTCAGGAGTTCGAGACCAGCCTTAGCAAGAGTGAGATCCCGTCTCTACTAAAAAATAGAAAGAAATGATCTGGACAACTAAAAATATATATATATATAAAAATTAGCTAGGCATGGTGGCGCATGCCTGTAGTCCCAGCTACTCGGGAGGCTGAGGCAGGAGGATCGCTTGAGCCCAGGAGTTTGAGGTTGCTGTGAGCAAGGCTGACACCACGGCACTCACTCTAGCCCGGGCAACACAGTGAGACTCTGTCTCAAAAAAAAAAAAAACAACCTTCTGGCCACTGCTTCCCTCTAGCGACTTGCCTGTTCCTCTGCCCCCTTCACGGCCAGACCTACAGAGACAGTTGCCCACAACCTCTGCGTCCTCCTCTCCCTTTTTCTCCCCCGCCCACCCAGGCAGGCTTTCCCGAGACAGCCCTCGCCATGCTGCCAGGAACCTGCGTGTGGCCAAGTCCAGTGGGGACAGCTCTAGCCTCTTCTCCCTGGACTCTCAGCAGCCCAGGACCCTGCCCAGCCTGCCGCGCTCTTAGCCAGCCTCTCCTCCCGGCCCCTCCTGCCTCTCTGGCTGCTGCCAGGGACCCTCCTGGCTTCTCCCGGCTCACTTCCCGCTGGCCTGCGCCACACCTCTGTCCCGGCCCTTCTCCACCGTCTCTCCCCAGGTCTCCCCTGCACGCTCTTGGCGCCCGCACGCACCCCTCACCCCAACCCCGGCCCTGACTCCTCGCTTGAGCTCACGACTGAATTTCCGACTCTCCACGCGGATGCCCAATGGGCACCTCAAGCAAACACGGGCAAAAGAGAACCCCCCCCAAACCCATGTCCTTTTTACCCCCTTTCCCCAATTTTAGAAAATGATGTAAGTGTCCACCCTGCTGCTGCACCAGCTACAACTCTAGGAGTCTCCTCGGGTCCTGCCTTCTCCCTGGTGCCATCCAATCCGCCAGCAGGTCCCGTGGGCCGACTCCGACGTCCACTGCAGATCTGCCCCCTCCACCCCGCCATGACCCCACCCCCACTCTCCCTGGGCAGCAGAGCCCCCGTGCCCAGCAGCACAGGGACTTCACACTGCAGGCCGACTGTCACTGGGGGTCAGGGAGCAGCACGGGTGCTCCACCCAATTCCCTTCTTCTGGTTTTGTGCCCCCACCCCGCAACCACGTGCTTTGCTTACAACAGGCAGCACCTGTGGCTCTTTCCACACGGGCCACCAGAGCAGAAAACACCTGAGAATCTCTACTGGGCCCACCTGGAGCAGCCCAATGACCGGCAGGTGCAGGACCCCAGCTCTTTTGTCTGGGGTCAGGAAATTCAGCTTTGCTGACACTCCAGAGTCCCCGCAGGGTCAGGCGAGGACTGTGCCTGAGACCACACCCTCGCATGGCTGGTCTCCTCTGTCCGGCTCACCTCGTCCCTTACTGGTTTCCTCTGGGAGATTCCCTTCATGGCAGCTGTGCCCAAACCCTCATTTCAAGGTCTGCGTCTGAGGAACTGCTGCAGAGATGACCGGGTAAGGATCTGGAGCCAGACTGTCGCTTCAAACCCCAGCCCTGCCCTTTACCACCTACGGGACCTTGAGCGCATTGAGTGCCTTCATTGCGCCAAGCCTCCATTTCCTCATCTGTAAAATGGGGAAACTGTTCTTCAGGATCCAAGACTGAGAACCAAGAGGCACTGAGGACCCCGCGTTTGCAGCAAGCCGCTGTGGATGGGGTGGAGGGAGCAGACCCCCCTCCAAGGCAGAGGCCCTGCTCCCCAAGCCATCAGCCGACTCCTGACCCCGACTGCCCGGCTCTCCCCACACCATGCCTAAATGAGGCTGTTCCCAGAGAACCACTTGCAGAACTCTGATGCCTGCAAAGGGGAGGCCTTACTATAATAGGCGTCTGCATGGCCAATGAGGGACTGGGGGGGGCAGGGAGGCAGCTGGCCCTCCCACCTCTGCTATGGCAAAGACTGGGAGTTTTTCTTCAAGGGTCAAGTGTATGAAGAGGACAGGGCTATGTTTGGGTCTTGCTGGCATCCCCTAAGAGGGCTGCTTGTAGGGCAAGGGGTCCCCAGCCCCAAGATGCTGCAGGGTGGAACACTTTAGGGGAAGAGGTGAGTAGGGCAGGGAATGGAAGAGGTCAAGCCAGGTCAGATCCCCCAGATCAGGGGCTCTGTAGTTGTGAGGCCCCCAAATAGCTCCACAGAGAATCCACACATGCTAACCTGGGAGACCCATGGCCCCCCGGCCCCCCTCAATCCCCACCACACTCCCTTCTCTCACTCCACTCCACCCACACTGATCACTCTCCTGGGCTTCCTCAGACACGCCCAGCACACGCCCAGCGGGGTGGGGGCACAAAACCAGAAGAAGGGAATTGGGTGGAGCACCCGTGCTGCTCCCTGACCCCCAGTGACAGTCGGCCTGCAGTGTGAAGTCCCTGTGCTGCTGGGCACGGGGGCTCTGCTGCCCAGGGAGAGTGGGGGTGGGGGCATGGCGGGGTGGAGGGGGCAGATCTGCAGTGGACGTCGGAGTCGGCCCACGGGACCTGCCGGCGGATTGGATGGCACCAGGGAGAAGGCAGGACCCGAGGAGACTCCTAGAGTTGTAGCTGGTGCAGCAGCAGGGTGGACACTTACATCATTTTCTAAAGGCCTCAGGGCCTTTGCACTGCCTGTTCCCGCCCTCCATCTGGAGCGCTCTCCTCCCAGATAGCCATAGGTTCACTCCCTAGCTCCACTCAGGCCTCTGCTCAAGTGCTGTGACCTCAGCCAGGCCTCCCCCAACCATCTGACTCGCCACAACACCCAAGCCCCGAGCCCGTCTCCCTCCCTTACCCTGCTTTGGGTCACAGCACCCATCACTCTCCTCATCGTGTGCATGTCCTCGTTTGCTGTCTCTCACTAGGATGCTCTCTCTATGTGGGTTGGGACCTCGTCTGTTTAATTCACCCTGACAGTGCCAGCACC